GGGGGGGGAATGTTTTATGGTGCTAGCAACTGCATTCGGTCATATGAGCGCGCGGGACACACTAAACTTTTTCAGTTGGTAGGAATTTTCGCGTCCTCAGGGATTCTTTGCCCTTGTCCGAGAAGGCTAGGTGTAGATCTTTCATACCAGAAGATCAGGGGTGTGGCTGAAAGACAGCAGTAAGAAGGAGTTAAGGAGTAGCAGTAGAGAGGCAGCAGAAAGCGTCAGGAGCCCAGAGGTGGGGGCAAAGGATATGAGGGGGTGGGGGCACAAAGAAGAGACTTGAGCAGGCGACAGATCATTGCGAGAGAGCAGGAAAGGATATGAAAGGAGACAATTTTAGAGAAGAAAATTTTTCGGGCGCTACCCGGATTCGAACCCGGGACCTTTGAATGATAGGCCAACACCTTAACCTCTTGGCCACGAGAGCCCCCATTTCATAGTCTGGCATGTAGAAAAATGCAATACTTTGGTCACTTGAAACAACACCACACCATTGTGAAATAGGTACTTGACGGAAGGATGTGGGGCAGAAGAGTCAGGGGAAGACAAAGAGTAACATGCATGGACAGCATACGGACATGGACTGACCTGGGTATGGCAGAATGTGCAACGGCAGCTCGAGACCGTGAAGGATGGAGGGTCATTACACGTCAACCTCTGAGTCAGAGATGACACCTCTAGAAAGTCTAGTACGCACATAGCGAGTGGTTGGTTGGCGGGTGCTCTGGTGTGTTTGCTCCTTCTTTCCTATCAAACGTCTATCGTCCTCATCTCTCCTCTCTTTTTTTTTTTTTTTTTTGTATTTTTCTCTGTCGTGACACCTCTAATATTCGGCACTTATGTAATCTGACCTATAATTTGTTTTGCAAGTGTCATAAAACTCTCACTAAAACAAAACTAAAAGTACTTAAGTAAATTGGCGTGACACGAAAATCCCTTCGTTATGTACTGTAAAGTAACCTGGCGGTCCGATGAGTCGGGTCTGTCAGGGGGCCCCCGTCGAAGATAAGTGTTGCCTCGTCGTGGTCCTGAGTTCGACTGAATACCTCAGTGAGTTTCTCAGACGATGTCTGCCTATTTCGCGCCGGACTCTTGACGTCATCCAAGGGCGTGCCACTCCCTTAATTATCCTGTCCCCACAGTAGAGATAAGAGTCATGTCCCTTGACATCACAAGGTACAATTTTTGCTATGTACATGTTTTAAATACCGCACAAATAACATACATGTATATGTAAAAGAATCGGGACCTGAAAATCGGTTCGTCGTGTGCTTTGTTTTTTGTGTATGTATTGGACTGTAGTTCCCTTCGATCTTCTATGGAGAGGGTCATGCTTTTGGGAATACAAAAAGGAAGCAGAAAATCTGCCACCCTTGCAGGAAAAAACAGAAGAACGTTCATCCTGATATGCACTGATACAATCAGTAGAAAGACCCTCGGCGACATTTTGGTCATTTGGAATACCCTGCATGATC